CCTTAGAACTTCAGTAAAAAACAGCGCCTAGCACAGGGATGAGCAATAATTTTAACGGGGGGCCATGACAAGATTTTGTTAAGTAGTAAAAGCTGCACTTCTATGGGGGGGAGCAGGGGGACACAGGGTCTGGGATGGAAAATGGGGTGCTAGAACTGGACAATAGGAGCGGAGGAATTTTGCTGGAGACAGGGACAGAGCAAATTCTCCTGGCCCTTCCAAGCTTGCAGAACAATTAGCAGCCAGCTGTTTAAAACAGCATGAGCTGCTCTGTAGTAAGGGTGCTGGTGAAGTGGCCACGGGCCAGTTCTAGGGCTTGGTGGGCTGGGCTGCATCTAGCCCACTAGCCGCCTCTTGCCCACCCTGGCCTAGCATGTATGAAACAGCACAAAAACATTTTCCCACAAGGCATTGCTTTCTATTAACTCTTGCATAGAGCAGTTCACTACTTATTACACGTTGATACCATGCAAACCAGCTGACATGAATTGTCACGTCTCGTGGCTAACCTAGCCTCACCTCCTTGTAAGCGCCTAACACCATGTACCAAATAGTTAAACTTGTATAGTGGGAGAGCATGTGCTACACCACGTATTTAAAGTTTGAAACATTGCACCAGGTCCCTAGCAGATCTATCAGCATTATAGTGCTCTCTTGAATGCTCACCCACTGACAGTGAAGTTTGGGCTTGCTCTACAAATCTCATTTTACCACCTTCCATCCTAAGTGCAAGGCATGGTTCTCTGATCTCACCTACAGCAACATATATAACATACATGTAAGAAAACCATATACAGTGTTCCTCCTCAAAAGAGGGAGAAAAAAGAAAACTATAGTTACATTGCTTAATATCTCAGTGGAAGATGTGCAGATAATGTGATAATGGGTATAAAAACCCGAACAAAGCACATTTAAAAAAGATTAAAACACATAGAGTTATGACTCAAATTGTACATGTGCCCCCCCCAAAAAAAAAAAAATGCACCGCAACTCAGACACTCCACTACACAACCTGAGCATTAAAAATGAACCCATACCAGTTAGTTCTCTTTTCAAGACCCTTACTCTGAATTTCCCAAAATGTGTAAAAAAAAAATCTTCAGCCATGACATCACACTGAAATCTTGAATATAAGTTATCAAATATTGTCCCCTTTCAACTTCATGGCCTGACTCTTCCACAAACGTTGATGCAGGAGTCTGGCAGCACAGAGTGTTTTGCAGGATTCAACTGAGGGGATTCTTACCTATTCTAAGGATGAAAGTCCCATTTAATTGGTTAACCAGTTTAACTTCACATTAACCAATTGGGGGAAGAGAGGGCGCTCCAGCCCAGTTCCAGCATAGCCAGAACAACCCCTACCTGTGACATGCCCAGGCTGCCGTGGACAGGGGCTGTGCCAGATGCCTGGAGCAGCCCTGTCTGTGGCAGGCCCCGTGGGGCTGGAGCAGCCTACTGCCCACAGCAGGCAGGGAGCTACTCCAGCCCCCTCTGGTTAACTGGAAATGGCAAACATCACCCATTAAGAGTGATGCTTACCAGTTAACCTTTCACATCCCTAACCTATTCATGCTTTGCAGTAGTGAACTATTTAAAGCGCATCAGCTCTAAAAATGACATCTGACTGACTGACTAACTGAGAGAAGTAAAATTCAGAAATACAGATGGATGCTTGGCCTTACGACACGAGACAGAATATAGTAAGTCAGGAGGATGAACAAACTAAAGATACCCCAACCAGAGTCCAAAGAAAAGAAACAGAGAAGAGAAGAAAATGGTTGAGTAAGTTCCCGATTCATGGATTTTAAGTTTATTCATGTTATTGGCTAAGACATCACCATTGACATGATGACCAAACTCAAGGAACAGTTTTCTTTCATATGCTCTTTTCCACCAGACTGTGGCCCATGTGTACAGAGGTATAAGTACATAGAAAGCAAGATTAAGGCTAGCAAACCGGATAAGGGTATAAGCAGGGCTCGACAAATAATACAATCTACTCGCCACAGGAGAGTCGACTAACCCAGGAGAGCCGGGTTCGGGCGATCTGCGCATGCGCAGAATGCCGGACAGTGCGGCTGGTGAGCGGGGCTCGCCGCAGCTCGACGAGCCCTGGGTATAAATGATGAAAATTACAGAAGGCACAATATATTCTATTGGGAACGGAGTGTAAATTTTTGTTTGGCTTTTTGTAATTTCCCTCTTCTCAACATCTTATATATTTAACATTAAAACAGGACCTATCAAAATGTCTACATGCCTCAAACTGAGTAAATATATGGATTTATGGACACCCTCATGGTTTTCCCCACCCTGTTCCCAAATGTCAATTGTTTAACTCATTTGTTACTTAGCTGGACTCAGCTGTTGTATCACAACATATATTAATTCCTGGTGACAGACTGTCTTCTGTTAAGTACTCTCCTGTACACTATTCATGATTACAGAATAATTTAAATTAAACATAAGGATTGCTTAAGAAAGTTTGTTTGTTCATTGATCTTAACTGCTGGTTATCAGGGAGCCTTGGAAGTTGTTAGATCTGTCATTCCTCCAAACAGATTTAAGTTCCCAAAACAGGACAAACTCAGTTCATGACCAGCTTGCAGAGTTTCAATGCCTCATACTCGCACAATTTAAAAAAAAACACTGGAGGTTTCTCATGCTGTAGGCTGGAATGGTTAAGAATGGCTTTCAATAAGTAGATAGCTGTTGAATGAGCAAGAGTTTTGTGAACTTAGCCCTGGCTTTGTATCATAGGTTCAAATGATTGTTCTTGACCGAGAGCCCATTAAAGGACCTAGCAGACTGCAAATCAGAGATCTCAGAACATGGATACCTGCTCCTTGTCTTCACAAATAAGCAAGCCACACATTTTACAGAGCAGAATTGCCAGCAGTTAACTTAGAAAAGGTACAATAAAGAGTCGTGATATCGATAGGTGAGAAGCATAGTTGCTGCTAAGGTGCATGCCTGTGCAGGGGCGTGCAAAGAATTCAAATCCCACCCACCTTCTCAGCACAGCTGTGCAGTGGCTGCTCAGCTGCTCCGGGGTGGGCCACATAGCTTCGCCAGGGAAGGAGCAGCAGCCAGGGCGGGCCACATGGTTGGCTGCCAGAGCTGGAGCCAGGGCCGTGGTGAGGGTGCTCCTGGGGCTAGAGCCATGGTATTAAAAATAGCACTGAGGCCCTGGCTCAGAAGCAGAAGCTCCACAGCCCAAGCTCTCATCCCGGCACACAGAACACTGCCTACCATGCAGGACCTGCCCTATGTACCAGAACTGGAGTCTGGGCCATGGTGCTATTTTAAGTACTGCAGGCCCAGGCGCAGCTGCACCCAGGGCAGGGCTGCGTGGCGAGGAGCTGCCCAGTGTACCACAGCTGGAGCCAGAGGCAGAGGCTGTCAATGAGGCAGCCTTACCGTAGCCCCAGGTCCAGCTCCTGCGGACGCTATGCCCAGCCAGCAAGGCTGTGTGGTGGGCGGCCACCCTGTGCAGGGCCAGCCTTAGGGCTGGGCAAACTGGGCCCATGCCCAGGGTGCCACAGCCAGATGGTGAGGGGCAACCAGGCATGGGTGTTGCTGGGCAAAGGGGGTGGAGGCTACTGGGCAGGGGGACAGTGTGGCAGGACATGCTGGAAGAGCAGGGTGGAGGTTGGGGGAACAGCGGGGAGGAAAGTGCTGGTGTTGGGATGAAGGAGGCACTGCTCAGAAGTTAGGGGCAAAAGGGTAAAATGCAGGGTTATTAACAAAGGGTGAACAGGATGAGGGTGTAGGGGTTGGGGAGCCTACGGAAACAGGAACGGTGGGAGCAAGATTGGGTGGGAGTGAAGCTGGGTGGTTTTTAGGGTGGGTGCAGAGTCACGCAACTTAATTATCCCTTGCTTTAGTATTTTTTTCCATGCCTATGGACTATTTAAAATATATATTTATATAGACAGTTTTTGTTTGTACTGGTGGGTGTACAGCCATACACTACTTCAATATTGGTGTTGAACATAAGAAATTGTGGGTGCCACAGATCTGAACAAGAGCATGTGACACTGGTGTGCAAGACAAAACTCACTCCACTCAGATGGAAAGTCTCAGAGGAAACACTGGTTAGAAGGACAAATCTACCCCATTTTAGAAATATTTGGCACTACTGATTGCTTTTGAGCAATGTTGGCACATACAGGCCAAATTTTCAAGCCTGAATGATTTAAGTGGGTACCTAAAAAAATTGTATGCGGAGAACTTGCAACTTCCACTGATCTTGTTTAAGTAACTACATTTCAAAGCTGAGTGCCTACTGTGCTGGCTTAACTGCTCAGAAGAGATTAAACGCTAGCAGTGGAGTCAGCTGTCTTTGCATTATGAGAAGAGAAAGTTTTAGCTATCGGAATATTTCCTCAGCAGTGACATATACTGTTCCTTCTAAGATTTCAGTGGTGCTGGTGCCCCAATACTAGAAGATTAATCTGCACTGATGTAGTCATAAAACAAGTCCCAGTTCTTGTATTTATATTTTGTCTTTTTTGTGCACCAAAGTTGAGAGCCTAAAAGTAGGCTAAAGTTACATTAGTTTCAACCTAAAAAACAGGCTGGGGAGACTGATGCTATTGAAAAAAAAGCAGAAAAAAACCACAACCCAAAAACATGTCGCTGTGTGGTATCTAGTGTTCCAACTAAAAAGCCCATGCTAGGGGCTATCGAAAGAAGGAAAAACTGAAAAATAATTTTTCTCCTCCGATCTTCGATTACTGTAGTATTAGTTGCTACTTGTAACAATAATAGCCAACAAATTTTCAAACAGAAGCACTATTATAAAATTTGACGGTATTCCTTTAGCTTTAAGAAAATAAAAAGGGACTATTTGCACACTTACCTGCAGCCTCTTTAGCTACAGACTGGGGAGGAGGCAGGAGGAAGTGGTGGTACAGCGGAGAAAAGGAGCATTTAAGCCAACCACCTCTCATACTCTTTCCATATGGTTTAGTATACATGAACATAGTGCCACTCACCTCCACTAAGTAACTTCATCACTAGCCAGAGCTCGTCTTTCACCACAAATGATGTGTAGTAAGATACAATGTTAGGGTGATGGCACTGACTCATAGCTTGAATTTCTTTCTGCAGACAGGAAAAAAAAACAGTTATTCTTAAAATGTCTGTTAAATAATAACCATCTACTAACATTATTTCCATCAAAACAGGGTGTTCATGAGGCAAAAATCACTCTTCAAAGCCAACAATGAAGAGCCAGAAATGTAAGTTATGTTTGATCCACTCAGATTATGGCTTGAATTTTCTCTGAATACAGGACTAAACTATGTAGTCCTCTGTAGTCAACAACAGAGTGGAAAACTTCCAGTTAGAAGACAACACCCTCATAAGAACCTAAGCCTCTACCACCAACCTCAGCTGAGGTGAAAGGGGTAGTGGTTTCTGGGACTTCTACCAGCGTGGTCTCCTTAGAACTTGCAAAGCGGCTCAATCTTTCTATTAACCTCTGGTTTTTAAGTGCTTCTTATGTATTACTTTCAATAGCACTATTTATGGCACTTAGAATCATCAATAGAGAATAATATGGCAAAGCTCTTAAAAATGTGTAAGGAGGAATTATTTAAAGGATATTTTTTCCAGAAGCCATGGCTGGGCTGTTTAGGAAAAAAAATAGAAAGTTTGTCATATGATTGTATGATGTAGAGAGAAAAAAATGTCACATGTACAAGATACACAATCCAAAAAATATCAGTTATTTGATTTGTAACGTAGGGGAACTAAGAAATGTTCCATTCTTTACATGAGGTAGTGTGGCCAAGAATAATGAATAGCTGCACAGCTCATTCTTTTCAATGCACTTGACCTATGTAGTATTAGAGATGAAACAACTATTAACAAAAGCAGAGCTGCTTCCCCCAACCTCAAGAATCCTAATCTTCTATCTAATCTTTCATTGGCTACACATGGGCTTCTCAAGCCCACAGAGGATTTCAGTATTCTTGGATGTAATTGTTTTAACTGATCATTGCAAATCACAGTGGGCATTGTGGTTTAAAATGCTTCCTCTCAACTGAAACCAGACCAACTCTGTCATGTTTACAATAGCTTTGTTAGAGCAATAGAAATGCAGCACAATTGCTCAAGAGCTGTGCTGAACAGCCAAGAACTTTATTTTGTAAGCATATTGTGTGGGGAATAAGGGGAAATGTGAAAGACTAACCAAAATCCATGTGTATTTTACTGCACCCTCAGATTACAGTAATTTTCCAAAAGCGAGGAGGAGTCCTGTGGCACCTTATAGACTAACTGAAGTGTAGGAGCATAAGCTTTCGAGGGCAAAGACCCACTTCGTCAGTAATTTTCCAAAGTGCTCTGGAAATAAGGTTTGAAGAGTGATTTTAAGTGAAGCCACATGAATACTTTGTTAGATAAGAACTGCAAGAGCGAAAGCTGCTACCATCAATCCTATGCTCTGTGATCCCAGGTACAGAGCAGAGCAGTCATGAAAAAGGCCCTACTTAACTTGCAATACTGCAGAAATTGCAGATTCTGCAATATTAGGCTTCCATTGAAGTTCTGACCAAGGGAGCCCCACCCTCAGCCCAGGAAGTGCACAGTGGAAAATCATGGGAAATTAACAAAGGAATGTATTACTGCAAATAAGGTCCATTATGACTTTTCCACAATTTTCTATGGCTTGTTTGCAACTCAGCCACAATTTTTTGGAAAACATCCCACAATGAGTGAATTACACTTGTTTTTACAAGTTCCTTTTCCACTCTTCTGTGAATCCTATGCAGTCAATTGATATCAAATATCAGGACACAAAAACAGGAGAGCTTCAGAAATGGGATTCGCACAGGTCTTCTCCAAGAAGCAGGCTCCCATTTTCCTATATTAAGCCTTTGTAGCCATTTTAACTTCTGATAGATCATCAAGATCCATCTTGACATGGGTTTCTCAAACAGCAGGGGAAATGTTGGGCCTGTCTTTACCTGAACATATTTCTGATTCATAATTTGGGAAACAGTATTTAAAGTATTACCTCTTTAGGTATTAAGGATAAAATACTTATATATTTTAACACGTGCAATTGTCTTGTAAAAGGGACATTTCTACTGGAACATTAAAATATCCACATTGTCAAACTCCGAAAGCTTGCATTCAGAGACCAGCTCTAACTGATCTGATGTCTTTCCATTGAGTGTCATGACGAATATTTTAACCACTCTACAGTAAATTGAGCACTCTGAAGCTCTTGGAACACCAATAAAACGCATACAAACTATAATTTAGAATCATAGACAACACCTTATGAAAAAAGTGTCAGGCGTGTCAATGGAATATCAGGAATAGCATTCTGTTTTGAAAGTGGGTCTGTTCACCTACTGATGTCTGACTCAGATTTGATTTAACTGGAATGGAGATGTGTGAGGCTGGCAGGCCAAGCATCTGACCCATCAGATGAACCTGATTGCAAGCATATGCACATAGGATAAATGTATTTTCCTCTCCTTGCTGTGCTGGTCTGTTCTACAGACAGAGCTGTCTGGAAGAATCTTATTCCTTTAAACACTGAGCGCAGGATCCTGGTAAACAGTTTTCCTTCCTTCATAGTAACTCAATGGACACAGCATGGGGGAAAGTACTGTGCTTGCACACAGATACCTATGATGTCAAAGGAAACCAGGATGCTGCTTACTTACTGAAGGGGTCAAAAATCTATTCCAGTATCACAAACCTTTTTGGGGAGTCCCACTTGAGCCACTAGAACATCTGCCATAAGCAAAAGTAGGCCAGATGTGGCCTATGATGTTGAGTATTGAGGGGAGAGTTCGCTTTGATTTCAACTCAAGTAATGTGTGAAGATTTAGAAAACCTACTTGGTTTTGCTCCATGAAGCATTAGATAGAATGATCAAGGTCACAAGAAACCATAGCCCTTCAAGTTTTGCCATATGTGAATTCATAACATTTCAGCAGAGGCTATGAATTGGTAACATCAAAGAGCTTTTTTTTTTTTAAAAAAAAGGAAATTTTAAATATTTTCTCTGTGTCCTAATCAAACTAAATAAAAGCAGGATATGAAAAAAGGAAGAACAGATACAGAAGCCAAAAATTTGTTCTAACCAGAGGTATCAAAATTAGCCTGTGAAACTAATTACCACAAGATACCATTAAAGCAAAGAGCTTGGAAAAAATTAAAAGGGATTAAACAAGAACATCCACAGTCACATTCATAACTATTAAACTGGGGGCAACCAGTTACAGATGAAAAGCCAAAATAGCTGTGGATAGAGTGCAAAGAGCCATGTATTATATATTTATTTTTATATATCTAGACAGATTAGACAAAATATAGTGATAAAAATAACTTTACAGGACATTTCTGACAAAAACCAATAAAGCAGTCTAGTCACTTAAATTCATGGCCAGACCATAAATCTTCAGAGAACTTGACAAGGAACAAACAATTAAAAAAACAAAAACAAAAAAAAAAAAACCTTTAAAAATATAGTAATATTCTCACTTAAAAAAAAAGAATCCCTAGCATGTATTTTAAATTTAAGACTACTGCCCTATTACGTCCCGTGAGTTTTTTAAAAATTAAACTGAACTGAAGTAAAATTAGCACAATTTAAGTGCCTGTTTCACTCCAGCTTGTTGTTCTCTGGTATGGTTTCCTATGAAGAATATGGCTTTTTTATCGTTCTAAAAATTCAGGTCTGTCCCAGACTGCAAATATGACAGGTTCAAAAGCAATAAGGGAGAGACTCATATCTCAGAATAATTGCTTCAGCCTGGCAAAAAACAGCCTTTGAATTTTCTTTAAAGAAACACAGTTTAAACCAGGTACATGCTGATTCTTATTTTGCCCTGGAATTTAAATATGACATCAGTGGTGGCTGCCTTATTCTGCATCCATGAAGACTTTGAGTTTAAGGTGCTTCAGGCCCCCCTGCTCTAACCCAATGCACCTTCGCTACCCCAAAGCCAGGCTCCCCCTGCCCCCTCCCCACTCTAACCTAGTGCCTGGGTCTCACCAGAGCCACCGCCACATGCTTCTCCCTCCAGGTGCTGAGGCGCATGTGCAGAGTGGCTGTGAGCCATTCAGGCGCACGGTTCAGAACTAGCAAGAGCCGAATTTCTCTGAGCAAAGAGCCGCGAGTTGGCCACACCTGGATTAAACAAACAGTTTAGAAAGGATATAAACCTTCATGCTCTAGGGGTTAAGTCAATCTGAAGGGCTGGGAAGAAACTGTTCTTCGGCTAAGTCATTGGACACGTGCCCACCTTGGCATGTTTTGTATTTTCCTCTAAAAATGCTAGTACTGACCCATTATGCTCATCTGGTGTAGCAATTCACATGTGTTTCTCTGCTGCTGACTTGCTGCAT